CCACCACCACCACCACCACCCACCGCCACAACCACCACCACCACAACCCACTACCACCACAAACCACCACCGCCCGCCGCCGCAGGCGCCAGCCCAGAAATGGAAATCGTCGCGTCGCCAGCCGCCGCCGACGCAAGCGCCGACCCGAGGAGAGGGGAAGCAATGGGGGGGGGTTCGAACCCCCCCCCTCCGTCACGGGAGGAGGGGGTGGGGGGGGGGTTCGAACCCCCCCCCCTCCGTCGCGGGAGGAGGGGCGGGGTGGGAGGGGGGGGGTTCGAACCTCTCCCCCCCCAACATCCAGGGGAGGGGGGTCCGGTTCCAAACCCCCGCGTCCCTCCAAGCGACCACAGAACGCGCTCTTTCTGACATTTCGAGCCCTCCAGCTCAAGATTGCCTCTGAAACCGCCAGGACGCCCCCAATGGGCCACTAAGGGGCCCTAAGAGGCCCTCAAGAGGGTACCAAGAGACCCCAGGAGACCCCCAACATGCCCCAAACAAACGTTCAACGAGCCTCCCAAATTACCCTAAGAGACATCAGCAAAGAGATGGTCCATCACCCAGGCACCATGGCGGGTTGGGCCGAAGGCTACACGATAGCTGCTTGCGCGCTTGGGCTTGCCCCCCCCCCCCCGCGCCCGCGGCAAGCCGCGCACCAAAGGTCACTCAGGCGAAGGGTCATCGTGACGTGTAGCCGATGCATCCCCAGTGTGGTGAATATTGGCCGATGTTTCGCCAGCGCTCATAGATCAGGCGTTCCCCAAAAGAGCCTCGCCGTCGCGAAATCGAGAGATTGACCTCTCGCCCACGCTCGAAGGGCAGTGCTATCGCCCGAGAACGTGTATACGCATCCTCTGTGTCCAAGATGCTGCCCTCGGCATCCCGCCACCAAACATCGACCGACATATGAGTGCACGACCGTACAGGCCACGACTGGGGCAACTCGGTGTGCGATTCCCTGCCTGTCCAGGGGCTCATGTTGCGCAAGAAATGTCGCACGCATCAGGCCGCCCCTCGACCCTAGTCATCTCCAGTTCGTATACAGGAGGCAACGGAAACCCACACGATCCACCAAACTCTCCTTCGAACGCCGCGGTGGCTACACACTGGCAGCCCGACGCATCTCTCATGCCAACCCATACCCTCGAGTATTGGAGCCAGCATCCGCAAAATGTACATGCAAATGCTGCCCCATGTACGCCACACACAGACCCTTGTGAACCATTTCCGCGTACAGCACCACGCCTGGACCCCCCATTCAGCCTCCTACAACCCTTGACAAGATGTAAACGTTAAGATCGACTGAAGGGAGGGCCCCTTCAACGCCGCCCATCTGTCGGGGATATGTCGACCCCTATCCCAGGCTTCGTGGGGGTTTTGGAGTGGACCGAAAATTTGGGGCCCAACCCTGGGATATACCATAGGGGGCGTACATCCTCGATGGGAGTGCGTCCGAATAGCTCCCTGGGGGTATATCCGAGGCTTTCCCCCGCTTTCTGAACGGCTTCATTGCATGTGGCGGGGCAAAATCGGGGATCGGGGGAGAAAAATCGCCTGCGACGAAACAAAACGAGTCGTGGTCTGGGCGGGCGCGACTCAGACGTTCCATAACGACCGACGTTTGCGAGGGGATGCCGACAAGTACTTCCCACGCATGGCAATCCAATCCAAGTCAAGAACATCACAAGTAATCTACGTCACATGTTTGATGTTGTACTGCCGAGGAATGCAATACCAACTCCGCCCCAGTGTTCTGACTGGCTTGCCTCGTGCCGCCCATTGGCCGAGAGCACTGCAGGCCTAACGCTCGCGGTCAAAAGTGGGGTTGCTTGCCACCCGCCCGACCCCCGGGCGGCTGCGGAAGGGCCCGTGACGCTCGTCAGGCGCCCCCTCGGAGGGGGCAAAGGGGTGTCCCCGATGCGCTTCCCTAACCCCTCCCCTTCCTTCAGGTAGTCCGCCTCCCCGCTCCCCTGCCGTCCTCCTCCTCCTCCTCCTCCTCCTCCTCCTTCTCCCCCTCCTCCCCACTCCTCCTCACTCCTCCTCGCATTGCTTCTCCTACTCGTCTTCCTCCTCCTCCTCCTCCTCCTCCTCCTCTTAATCGTCCTCTGGCTGATGCTCCTCATCCAACTTCAATGACTTCCATCTCCTCCTCCTCCTCCTTCTCCTCCTCCTCCTCCTTCTCCTCCTCCTCCTCCTCTTCCCCCCTCCTCTTCTTGATCCTCCGTCTCCGTCTCTTCCTCCTCCTCCTCCTTCTCCTCCTTCCCCTCCCTACCCTCTTATTAAACCATTTTCCTCCTCCTCCTCCTCTGTTTCCTCCTCCTCTTCCCTCTCCTCCTCTTCCCCCTTTCCCCGCCATCCTCTTCGTCCCCCCCTTTCCTCCTCCTGCTATTGCTCCTCCTCCTACTTCTTTTCCTGCCCAAGCCCCGGATCAATTCACTCCAGGGGGGGAGGAAGAAGAAACGAAATCGAGGAGTGCATGGTGACAGGCCTCCTCAAGATGCCTAATGCTGGGACTCGGCTCGGCCCTTGCCTGTCCAAGCAGTACGGGTCACCCACGCACGAGCATCGTGCTCTCTCTCTCTCTCTATGGTTTCTTCCTTTCGTTATTTCTCTCTCACTCTATATATATATATATATATATATGAACAAGGCTGCGTTGGCAATTAGTGCCACGCATCTTGGTCCTTCAAGCTTCGCATATTGTGGCACTTAACGTCATCCTCTTTGGCCTTTGAAAGTTGGCGGTTGCTTTTCAAGTTCCCTTGCCCGTTCCTTATTTGCTCTCGCCCTCGATTTACATGTTGGTGCGCCACCCGAATTTGTCTTGGGGTGGTTGAATCTGATTTCGAAGCGGACCCGATGGTGTGGCGACGAGAACGCCACCTGGAGGCTCCGAAAGACGTTGAACCAAAATCGCGTGCCATCTTCGCTGGATCCTGTGCCGGCAAGTGTCGTCACGGCCTGCGCGTCGACTTTTGACACCGCTTGGATCGTTCAAGCATGGACGATCGCGCATTCCCGTTCGATACCTGCCGATTCCTGACCACTGGCCGCGTTCATTCCGAACGCCCGCGCCGGTGTCGCCGACGCGTCGACACGACGTACACCTACCGTTAATGGAAGAACAATTGTTTCCTGGGGTCATTCTCTACTCCGGGATCTGTTTTTGAGGCCCTCCGGGTGCAGCGTCTCCTGGAGGTCGACGTCGAACGAAAACCTCCGAAGATTGCAGAAGCTCGAAGAAGCCTGGCGGCTACCAACGACTCCCAACAGCATCAAACTAACAAATAGACGAGCCATCGTAGACCCCGAAGAGTGGGGTGTTGAACTCCGGCGGTGAAAGTTCTGCGGCGTACACTATGTGATAGCTTTGTCTTGGCAACCATGTGGAGTGAGCTATGCGGTGAAAGCTCTTCGGTATTAGCTTCTGGGTGGTAACTATGCTGTGTGGACTATGTAATGCGGACGATGTCGTGGTATATACAGGAAGTAACGCAAATGGTGCAGGACAGGTGGTATGAACAATATGTTGGGAACAGGTCGTGGAAACTATGCGGAGAGACAAGGCCGGTGTAAGCTAACTGGTATGGGGCTCACGAGCGCCCACGATGCGGCATGGGCGGGCACGTGACGAAGCCTTGGCCGACCCACTCAAGGTCTGAACACCGGAGCAAGGAACCCTAGTGAAAACACCGTCTGGGGAACCTACGGGAACCCTAGTTCAAGGACAATGAGAAACAACGCCTTATCGTTCCACATCGTTTCTCTCATTCATCCACGTTCTCGCCTGGCGTTGCGAACCGCTCCCCGTCTGCCGCAGGTCTTTTTGCGGAGGCTCCTTGTTGGAAAACCTCTGGGGGGCCTCACGAATGCCTCTCAAGGGCGTTGTTGACCTCTGGAGGCCTCGGCGACTCTCTGGGCCGTCTTGGGGGTCCTTTCGAAGCTCATTTGGACCGTCTTGGGTCCTTCTTGGGCCGTGCTGGAGCCTTCTTGGGGAATTTGGGCCCTCTGCGGGCCTTCTTGGGGCCATCGTGGGCCCTCCTGGGAACCTCCCATGGCCCTCGTGGGTCCCTCTTGAGAGTATTTGGGGGCCTCGCGAGCTTCTTTTGGGCCGTCTTGAGGTTCGTCTTTTTCGTCTTGGGGCCCTCGTGGGCTGTCCTGAAGCCCTCTTGGGGGCCTCTTGGGCAGTCTTGGGGCAATCTCGGAGGCATCTTGGGGCGTCGTGAACGCTGTCACGACACAAATAGCGAGTATGCTGAAAATGCATGCGTTCCCAAGGGGATGGGAAGAGGTTTGCCTCTAGGGAGCCCTCCTGAAGGCCTGTTGAGGCGTCTTGGCGACCTCTTGGGCCGTCTTGGGGGCCCCTTGGTCAGTCTTGAAGACGTCTTGCGCTGTTCGGGGCTCTCCAGCGCCTCTTCGACCACTTCTTTGATCACGTTGGGTCTGCTGGGCTAGGCCGGGCAAGGCGCCTTGGGAGGCGCGGCGGGACTGGGCAACCTCTTCCAAGGGCGTCCATGGTGCCCGAAGCCTAGGATCCCTGGGGCCTAATTTCTTGTTGGGGGGGGGTCCCGGGTCCCGCCCCTCCAGCTTGTAGAAATATGTGAAGGGGAATATGTATTGTACATCTATCGTCGCATAATTAGTGGGCCTCCGAGACGCTCGCCGCGTAATCGTAACAAGGTGCGTGTGGGGAGGGGCATCACCGATGCGTTGAATGCGCTGCACCTTTTGGCTACCACGGCAACTGCATGACACCGTGTCGCATCGGGCTGTTCGCATATTCATCATTATCGAAGCGTTTCGTCCGAATTAGTCTTGCATTCGTTCCAACCCAACCCCCTAACAACCATTCAATGCCAACAGAAGACCGCAAGCTTTCTAACTGCAAATTCCAACACATTCTGAGCGCTCCTGTGTATGGGCAATTGTGCAGTCTTACCGTTCCAGACGATGCAACATGCTCCACCCATCACCTGCTGATCGTTCCCCGTCGGCGCGGCCACTGGTGGCGCAGCTGTTCCAATGCGCCCTCAGGGTAGTAGCCAGCTCTGCCCCAGATATCGAGCAGGCGCTGCAAGGCCGCTCCCTGGAAAGGTGTAGCATCGGACGAGCAGAACACTGGTCGTCACAACGGTTCGAGCGAGTGGCAAGGCCTGGAAACCCATGTAACATTGCCCATCATCCCTCCCAGCCCTCGTTCCTCTCCCCAAGTAGTTCTCTCCTCCTGCCGTTCTTGCGTCATCCCTGTCCCCAGTGTTCTGTTATTTCTTCGCTCTCTCTCTCTTTCTCTCTTTGCGTCTGTTGATTACGTCCTCTGTTTCTCCCTTTTTCAACATCACTCTCTCTCTCTCTCCTTCTCCCTCTCGTTCCGTCTCGCTCTTTGTCTCTTTCTCGGTTGCTCTCGATATCTCTCTCTCTCTTTCTCTCTTTCTCGCGTTCTTGCTTGTGTTTTTTTTCTATCTCTCTCTCTATGTATAGATTTGTCTACTGTATGTCTTGTCCGTTATGTATTTCCTTTTTCTCTCTCTCCCTCTCTCTCTCTCTGGTTCCCTGTCTCTCTCTCTCTCTCTCTCGTTTTTTGTTTCTCTCTCTCTCTATCTCTCTCTCTCTCTATATATATATATACATACACATACAGCTATATGCACCCCCCTCTCGCTGGCGCCACCCGAAGGCACTTCCGCGCGTGCCCGCTCGCACGCGGCGCACCTTTGGCGCGCCCCGAGGGCGCTCCAGTGCGTACCCGCTCGCACGCGGCGCACCCTGGCGCGCCCCTAGGGCGCTTTCGTGCCCGCTCGCTCGCACGCGGTGCACCTCGACGCGCTCCGAAGGCGTTTCCGTGCGCGCCCGCTCGCACGCGGCGCACCCTGGCGCGCCCCTAGGGCGCTCTCGCGCGTGCCCGATCACATTCGGCGAATGATGGCGCGCCCCGAGAGCGCATCCGCGCGTGCCCGCTCGGCGCAGCACACTCTGGCGCGCCCCGGCGGCTCTCTCATGCGTGCCCGCTCGCACGCGGCAGTCATTGGCGCGTCCTGATGGCTCTCTCGCGCGTGCCGGCTCGCACGCGGCGCACCCTGGCGCGCCCCGCGGGCTCTCTCGCGCGTGCCCGCTCAGGCACGGCGCATTCTGGCTCACCCCGACGGCGGTTCCGCGCGTGCCCGCCGCTCGCGCGCGGCGCTCTCTGGTGCGCCCCGATCGAGGGCGTTTCTGCGCGCCGCTCGCACGCGGCGCTCTCCGCTGATGGCTTTTCACGCAGCCCCCCCAACCCGTGTGGCGTTTGCGTGGCGAGTGCAGCTGACGTCTCGTCGTGCGCCGACCTCAGCGCGAGACCTGGGATTGGTGCCGCGCGCTGGCCCCAACGCAAGGTATCTCGTTCCAAGATTCAACTGACCACGCGACGCGCGAGTCGCCCCCTACGCGCACGAGCGCTAACCAGGAGAGCAAGGAAACTGCAGGGCGCCGCGCGCCAAACCCAACGCGAACAACGCGGCAGCAGCTGACGTCTTCGCATGCCCCCCCCGCGCGGTGGCTGCGGAACGATCGCTTGCATTTGCGACAGCGCGCAACGAGGCGCCATCCCGCTCGGCTCTACGCGCCGACCGCCGCACAAGCATGGTTTGCCGAAAACGCCGCCGACGCCGCGCGAGGGGTCATCCCGCGTGCGCTCGAGCGCTCGCCAGTCGCGCGCGGAGTCGGACTGGCGACGCGCGCCGACCCCAGCGCGATGCATTGCGTTCCGAGATTGGGCCTCCCATGCGACGCGCGAGTCTTCGCCTGCGCGCGCGTGTGAGCGCTGTCCGAGTAAGCGAGGAAACTGCTCGGCGCCGCGCGCCGACGCAAGCGCAGACGCGTTCGTCGCCGAGCCAGTCGCCGAAGCGGCGCTCCAAAAGTCTGCATGGCGCCGCGCGCCGACCCGAGCGCGAACAACTTCGTCGCCGAAATTGCGTTACTGTGCCACCGCCCATGGCGCGACGCGCGCTCGACGCATGGCCAACGGGCTTTCGATCGATAATTCGCTCGCGGGGCAGCGATGCGATGCTCATAATCGCGGAGCGTTTCCCCGTGGATGTGCATCGCCAGTGTACTCCCTTATTTCAAGGGAGGCTGGGTAGGGGGGCCACGTTCGAAGAAGGAGCTCGCTCTCGGGCGCAGCTGGGGCAGGGTGGGAGGGCTGGGTCACGAGCATCGCAAAGTAAGCACAGGAGAATCCCACCCCCTACAATCCCGATGGGGGGTGGGATGCATGCGCACACTCCACAACAGCACACACTCTCTCTCCCTCTCTCTCTCCCTCCCTCCTTCCATTGCTCCCTCCCTCCATCTCTTCGCACCCCACCCTTTTATGACACTCTGCCTCAATATGTCTCAATGTCAGTGTATTTGTCTGTCTCCGTATATCTGTCCATCTCCGCCTCTCCGTCTCTCTCTCTCTCTCTCTCGTTTTGCCCTCCCTCCCTCCATCTCTCTCTCTCTCTCTCGATCCCCGTTTCTTCATTTTTTCTGTAAGTAATTATCTTTGTTGTTTCTTCTCTCTCTCTCTCTGACACTATATCCGTCCTCCTCTCATCTCGCGCGCTCTACGCCGACCTCTTCCTATGATTATCCGTGTCCACATCGTACCCCTTACTCCCCCTCTCTCTGCCTCTGTCTTCCTCGCCACACTCCCGTATCCCCCCTTGCACATGAGCTTGATTCCCACGTGCTTAAAAAGACCTGCAACGCGCACGCACCAACACAACCGCACTGAACATGCACACACTCACACACACTGCGCACATGAACGAACAACCGTGCCATGAGAGAGCCACATGCAACGCGCACACGTGTGCGCGAGCATGCGTACCATATGCAAAAGAACTCGCGGGGAAAACTTGAGGGGGAGAGGGGGGGCCTGGCTTCCGTCTGGGCCGAGTGATGGGAAGGGTGGGCAGCCTGACCAACTTTCATGCTGATCTTCTCGAATCCGATCGGTCCGCGAGGTCCCAAGGACCGAGCCTAGGCAAGGGCGCCCATCGTTTTTTCCACGACGTCCTGAAGTCTGGGGAAGCGGAGTAACCGATGTGGAGGAGTCGTGGCTCAGAGGTCCGCCCTTAGTCATCCCAACTCTATCGCGTACTTATCAGGTGTCATAGGCCCCGACAGCTTCAGCAAGTTTCGCGACAAAGAGAATGCACGCATGACAACGCCTGCACAAAACATCGCCGTGTATGCGCATCATGAGTGGGCGAGTCCGGGCTGACACACTCAGATGCGCTAGCTCACATTCAGCGCACGGGCCCCCGTTAAATGTCATGGGCCGGCCCAACGGCGTGATGGGGCGCAACCGCATCCGGGATATATTTGCATGACCTGTGATGATACCAAAATCGCCCAGCGGGATGGAAATCTGGATTCGTGACCAGAATACGTACTTTCATACGCGGGGGGGACACCTCAACATTGCCAAGTCTACTTTGTTGTATCAGGTCTTGTCTGAAAATCGTCTTCTAGTGCGTTTCCTCCAATGTTCGTTGATAGAGAAGGCCCGGTCAGGCCGACCTGAAACCATCCTGTCGTCATGTGCGAATGGCCAGCCCCTATCCTCTGACCAAATGATGCTTCAACGACACCGCCACGGAAGTGACTGAGGCGAGTTCCCGAAAACTTCCGTAGACGTGATGCAAGGCAAACCTGACTAAGGCAAGGCACGAGCAGGACGGAACTACAGGCGAGGTTGACTGGAGAGGACACGTGACAAGACACAAGACCCTGCCTAGGGCAGCATTGCCACAGGAATTTAGGAGACATGGGTCGCGAAACACAGGACACAAGGGTACCTTTGATTTGGCAGGTCCGACCTACTAATCAACCTCGACTGTACGACCCCGTGGACAGACGCGGGCCTCCGAGAGGAGGCGGCGCTGGCATTCCGCCCCTTGCCGGGATCGCTCCCACCTCCTCCTTTTCCTCCTCCTCCTCCTCCTCCTCCTCCTCCTCTTCCTTTTCCTCCTCCTCCTTCTCCTCTTCCTTTTCCTCCTCCTCTTCCACCTCCTCTTCCTCCTCCTCCTCCTCCTCCTCCTCCTCCTCCTCCTCCTCCCCCTCCTCTTCCCAATTGAGAACGGCACCTGCCCATTCCATCTTTGCGCGCGCGCCTCCTCCTCCCGTTTCCACAATTCTCCCTTCTCCTCCGCCTCACCTTCTTGCGCGCGGGTGTAAAAAGGGGGGCAGGCGGGGGCCAACACAGAGCGCGCAAGCCGCTGGTATCGCATCTCATACGGCGATCGGGGACTGTCGTGGGCCCGTACCGCAGGTTACTCCAGCGAAGGGTCACTACGTGTAGCCGATCCCCCCTGGAGAGACCCCAAACAAATACCGATACCGCTCCCCCCATTGACTTCTCACGGGGCGAGTTTGTATTAGAATTTCGGGGCGGATCCAACGGTAGCGACGAAAGGCTCCCAAGAAACCCCGGGAGGGGAAAACGGGTGAAAGGGTAGCGGTATGGGCATCCTTCCCGCCTCTGATTACGTGTAGTCGGTAACGACGACGATGATGACGTTGATGCCGTTGCAAAAGCCAGGGCTTGTCCCTCGCAAGAAGATGCGCTTCCGTGGCTCAGGGGGAGGGCCCTCTGATGTGGGCCCTCAGGCTTGCCGCACGCACGAAGGCACGAGGCCGTGGGCCAGGGCTTTCAAGAGGCGCCCAAGAAACCCCCCAAAGACCCCCCAGAGGCCCAGGAGAGCCCCCAACCGACGCACTTTCAAGACAACCCCAAGATGGTAAAACCAATGATTTCCCTTACGATCGTGAATTGTTTTCGTCGTCGCCGTCGTCGCCGTCGTCATCTCTCTTCAGGGTCGGCGGCGTCGGCTACAGAGCCTTCGGAACCACGGGGCCGCGGCCCAGGGCTTGTCGCGCACAAAGAATTGCAAGGACCGCGGCCCAGGGGGGCTGTCCATCCGAGAGGGGGCCGAAGACGCACAAGGCTGCCCCGACAAAGATTATGCCAAAAGGCTGGCGCGTTCCCCGTGGGCCAGGTGCGAAGAGGAATGGGGGTGGGGCGGAGGGAGGGGATGGGGTTCTGTGGCGCTTTGCAGGCTTTCGATT